TGATTGTGCAGAGAATCCCAGCTCAGAAACGGAGTATATCCCATTCCAACAGCCCAATAAGTCACCGAGACAGAATGCTGGGAGGGCGACTGGGTGTTTCTGGATCAGAGGACACAGCCTGTGACTGAAAGCAGCTGCTGTATTCGTTCAGTTTGGTCAGCAGGTCAGGTATGAACCATTTCATCTCCCTGACAGGAAGGGAAATGGCATTTGTTTCCGACTCGCAGCATTTGCACTGGTAGGTCTGGCTAAAAATGCCAATCTAAAGAGCAYGGCTAGTAGGGCAGCAGAGAGAAAGAGAAGGAGGGAAAACGTTGCCCCAATAGGTAGTGTCATCTTGGCTTTTCCAAGACCTGGCAAGACAGAGGACCAAGCAACCCTGCCTGCTACCTGCTTTGAGCAGGTAGGGCTAGAGACATCCTGAGGTCCMTTCCTAATGGAATTATTCGACAAAGGACCCTTTGAGAAGTTTCAGTGCTTGTGGATGCTCTCATATCTATTCTAGTAAGCTTCCTTGGTCATGGTCTGGTAAAAATAATTGCCTACAACTGTACAGTCATATCATCATGCTTCATCAGTGTTAAGTCATTGATCTGACAGGATGACACAAATTCCATCTGCCATAATTATAATTCCCTACCCTGAGATAACCTATTTTAAATTCTCTTACACAACAGTGGTACTAGACTCAATTCTAATTAACAAACTAATGCTAGTTATAATTACCACTATAATGGGTCAAGAGAGCAAGGACATAAAAGCAGGCCAGAAATAACACCCAAGTCTTGGCCATGCAGGATTCTGCTCAACCTTTAGGTCATCTCTGCAAAACGCCTTTCAGCACTTGGAATCTTCCCCACTGGACACCACAAAAGGAGAGAGATGTTTTTCAGCAAAATTGACAGCAGCCGATCAACATACTTAAGTAACTTAATGGGTCCAATTTTCAAAGATTAGGAGGCCTCTGGTACAAAACATACACCTACATAATTCCATAAGCAGGAAGAATATTTCAAATCATATGCTCTTCTCCTATCGAGGAAAAGAAAATTAATTTTGCACAATATAATTTTTTRTACAACATCTCAAAAGATCCCACCAAATCTCCCGCTGGTAGTGCACAGACTGCAGGGAACTAGAAATTCCACAGAATTTTCAAACGTACCAATTCTCTTTCCTGAATTGACTGTTGCCATACAGCTCATCCCTTTCAAGACTATACCACTCCCCATTTTTTTTTAAGAAAACAAAGCTTAACCATGTAGGTTTTGCCAAGTTTTCAGCCAAATTAGCTGTTAAGATTAGCAGAGACTTGTTAGTGTGGTCTCTGATAAACAGTACCCACTGTAACTAGGTAAGCTTTATTAGTGCTCCATAACAAGTACCAAAGGTTGTCTAATCCCTAGACATAAGCAATATAAGAGTCAAAAAAATATATATCCCCATGACATTCTGGGATAAATCTCACTTGCCCTGCATATAAAGCAAGCAAATCCAGATGCACATTGGACACTGATAAGTAAATTTAATATACAGGCCAAAAAGAAACAACCAGTCTTCATAAGACACAGAAATACTCCATAAAAACGCTGCCCTGCTTCAAGGGATTAAGTTACCAGAAGTGTTCCAGGGAGGGATCYGAGCGTGGAAGCAGCAGCCACTCGGTGCACAGGGAAAGCTCCCAGTGTAGGAGGTGGTATAGCAGGAGGCACGTGCAACAGCACTAAAATTCATTTAATCCTTAGCATTGAAATATTTTCAAAACCTGAATATTTTAGATATGAATAATTCTTATAAAAGAAGAAATTCTGGCTTATGAGATAAGCCCTCTGTACATGGCAAAAAGCAGACATTCCCATTTCCAAAAGCACTCCCGGCAAGCTCACAGAAGTTAAAAAAAAAAAAAATGGGGAAAGAGTGGTTGATGGGCTGAGCTACCATTCAGAGGGACCTGCACAGGCTGGAGAGATGGGCAGAGAGGGCCTCATGAGGTTCAATAAAAGGAAATGCAGGGTCCTGCACCTCGGGATGAATAGCCCTGAGCACCAGTACGGGCTGGGCTGTCCTGCTGGAGAGCAGCTCTGCAGAGGGGGGGTCCTAGGGGACACTCTGGGTCCCCTGGGGTCCTAGGGGACACTCTGATCAGGAGCCAGCATTGTGCCCTTGCGGCCAGGAAGGCCAACAAGATCCTGGGGTGGTCTAGGCAGAGCATGGCCAGCAGGTCAAAGGAAGCGCCTCTTTGCCTCTGCTTGGCCCTGGTGGGGCCACATCTGGAAGACTGTGTCCAGTTCCAGAATCCCCAGTATGAGAGACACACGGAGTTAGTGGAGCACGTCCTATAAAGGACTACTAAGACAATGAAGGGACTAGAGCATATCTCTCATGAGGAAAGGCAGAGAGAGCTGGGACTTCTTTAGCCTGGAGATGAGAAGGCTGAAGGGGATATTATCAGCGCGCACCAAGCACATTTCAAGAGGGTGTAAAGCACCCTGAGCCAGACTCTCTTCCATGGTGCTCGGTGACAGGACAAGAGGCAGAAATTGATATACAGAGCTTCATCTGAACATAAGGAATATCTTTTCCCATAAGGGTGAGTGAGTTCTGGAACAGGTTGCAGAGAGTCCTTCCCTGAAGACAGTCAAAACTCAGCTGGACASAGTCCTGGCCAATGTGCTTTAGGTTGAAAAGGGGTGGACTGGACTAGATTATCTCCAGAGGCCCCTTTCAATCTCAACTATTCTGCGCTTCTACAATTCCCAAAGCAGAAGAAAAAGTGTGTTAGAACATCTTTGAATAATTGGTGCTCTTTCACAAAAAGATGTATGCTGAAAAATTAACATTAATCACTAGTCATTATTTTAGCACCATCGCTTCCAAGAAAAAGGAGAAAAAGGTCAGTTGGGCCTCTTCCACAGGCAACCAAAGCAGAGGATTTCTCAGGAGAGAAGTTTAAAAAAACCCAAAACACTATTTGGATCAGGCCTTGCCAGATCTTTGTCCTGCTCACTTTAAGCAAAATTCAAGTAATTATAGGACAAAAGGAAGTTAACAATAATGAAAAGACTCTCCACTCCTCATCACCTTAAAACATTCACCAAAACATGACTACACCGTGCCTCACATATAATTAAAAAAAAAATTGAACTAAACATAAACCAAAAATGAGCCAAGAGTTGCTTACCACAAAACCAGCTTCAACATGTCTTCATTACTCCCTATCAAGTAGCAAGTTACACTTCAGAGATGACTACTTGATAAGTAAAACARGGACTTAAAATGTAATGCAAACTTAATTGGAAGGATAGTTCACACCCTAAACATAAGCAAAAGTTTTCTTTTCTACATCAAGGTTTTTAAGGAGCTTTCACTAAACAGAAATAATTTTCAAAATAARCCTACTGACGTATTAGAAGAAAAAAGCAGTTGAGAAGTTATTCATCTTTTGAGATTTCCCATTAGAAACCTAGCACACTCTTACCATGGGTAAATACTGCAATAAAGATATTTTGGCAGCAATCCTAAACCTCCAGGACCTCTTGGCATTTAGCATATTTTGAAGTGGGGTAAAATAAATTTCATGGTCTTTTGATTATCCACACACTCCATTAGGTTCCAGAGATTTAGTAAATACCACAAAAATGATGATATATCAACATTTGGCTTTTTTTCCCTCTCCCTACTGTGAACCAGGCCACACAATTAAACAGGCCTTTTAAAGAATATTCATACAGCAAATGACCTCCTATAGCGAACGTTTCTTTTGCGTTCGGCTTTCTTGGAACCCTCTCCAACAGCTTGCCTGCAACTTTTCCTAGGAAAACAGTACATCCCAAGTAAAGTAAAGCAAAGAATGCAAGAGACATAATGATCTTTGGGGATTTACCCTCCCGCATATACCAAAATCCCAAAGGAAAAGTCACCCAGTGAGGGAGACCACCCACAGAAATTCCCACAGGGGAGCACTGATGGACGGCAGCAGCTGGGCAGAAATATAGCAAAGGAATATTCAGATTTCTGATGGACCCACAGACGTGACAGCTGCATAACTATTCTGGTTAGGATTTAATTTTTTTATTACAATATGATTGCACCCAAATAAGCCTTCTCATGAACACCACTTACTAATATGAATGTCTTTCATAACTTTTATCYGGCTTTCCACCTCCACTGTGGAGAAGTCATGCTGGTATAATAAAAGCTGTATAATAAAAGCTGGTATAATACTGCTTGCATAGATTTTATGTCTGTTTTCCCAGGTTTATGCCTAGAGGACACCTTCTTTCAACACTGCTGCCCAGGACACAAGCTATTTTAAAGCAGTTCTTCGGGAACCTGGAGAACACCGTGGTGATTAACCCATGCTGAACTCTGAGAGGTAGAAACTAAACAGCCACCGCCAGGCAAGGCGCTGCTGAAAGCCACGCAAAAGGCAAGGGGCTGGAACGCGGTCCGTGCAGAGCCGCTTTCTCCGCGCGCGGCCCGAGAGCCCGCCGCGCACC